AGAAAAATATTTGATTACAGATCAGGAAAAAATACAAAGACAACAGGGGAGCCCTAATTTTGAACTAGAAATGTTTTTCTGCATCAACCAAGATAGAATTAAGATGAGTGATATATGACAAACCTTATTACTTTTTTTGACTTTTGGTATATATCCCTTTGCAAAATAGTAACTAAATGTTAAAGCCATGGTAACCTTTAGGGAGGTTGAAACATTACAGCTGGCACTAGAGGGCAGATGTGGTCAGGCACACTGTAAACACCTTGAAATGAACTCAAAGTGACCAAGCACACAGCACACAGAAGTAGACAAATAAATACAATATTCTGCACTAAAGCATGGGCTTATGTTTCCAAAATCATTACTGATGCAGGGATCACATTTCACCTGAAGAGTTTTTGCCATCAAGCCTGTGGCTTTGCAAGTTATCCAAACAAAACAAAACAAAACAAAAACAAAAGCACAAAAGCTTGCATTGTAATCTTGGGTTAAATCTCCAGTTTCCAGAAAACTGGTTTTCTTCATAATAGTGTGAGTTTGGTATTTTAGGCCTACCATTAAATAGTTGGAGTTAAACTTCCAGCAGGCTCTAGACAGAGAAAGTATATATTAGTTAAGTCTTAGTTGAGGTGACATAGCTACATTTCTACATTTTCCATCAATGCTACCAGGTTTTGGAGTTAGCAACTGCTGTCTAACAGTACTTACAGTAAACACTTAAAAATTTGTACTTTGGGTTGGCCAAAGTGGGAATTAAGGTCCTTTCAAGTTTATTTAAAGACTCAGTTCAGTTCTAGCAGACTCCCACTAAAACAAGTAGGGGTGTTATGTACGTAACGACTGCACAGGAAATCTGGTTTTGCCTTCCACCACTTGCATTTTAAGCAAAAATACCATGCCTACACACAACCTACAGGAATCCCACTCTGCGTAATTAAGTGACCAACCTCTTAAAAACTTGCCAGAAGCAACAGTGTTTATAAAAATCTATCTAGTGTGTCAGTTACTTAGTTCTATCTCTGCATTTAAAATTAGGATTATTATTAAAAATGAGATACTATATAATTTTTATCCTAACCAAAAAATACCAAAACCAAAGATTAACATTGGCACATTAATATAATAGTTGAATTATGAGAAAAACAAATTAGCATGAGCCATTCACGGGATTTTCTTTATTCTGTTTTCATTTATAAAAAAGGATTTCCCAAGGGACAGGATGAGGTTAAATTTAAAAAGTTAAATATATATTTCATAGGTAGTATACGTAATACATTTGAATGTGTTCTGATGAAATAATAGATTTCAAATTCCCTTAGCTCTCTTCTTTTTTTCCAATGTTCTTTTAGGAACAGTAATTCTGCATATGCACTATGAAGATCTATTCTGACTATCAGGACACACTTAGTAGTGAAGTCAGCCACTACCACTAACAGCAGAGCCAGAGTGACTCCTTTTTGGAGACATTACACAGATCACTCTTCTAATTAGTAGCTTCTCTGTCACTTTTCTAATATCTTTTAACTGAGCCAAAAAAAAATTTCAGTTACTTGATAAGGAGAAAATAGGATAAGCAAGAGGCTTGTCCTTAAGAATGAATGATGTTTAATCAAGGTAATGCATGACAAACCCACAGCCAGCATTTTATTGCAAAGGGAAAGTTGGAAGCATTCCCCTTAAGATCCAGAACCAGACAAGAATGCCTATTCTCATCATTACTATTCAATATAGTCATGGCAGTTTTAGCCAGATCCATTAGGCAAGAAAAAGAAATCAAAGGGATACAGATTGGAAAGGAAGAAGTCAAATTATCCCTATTTGAAGATGACATGATTCTATAGAGGGGAACCAAAGGACTCTATTAAGAGCCTATTGCAACTCATAAGAGTTGGGTAAAGTGGCAGGATGTAAAATTAACACACAAAAATCAATAGTCTTTGTATACACAGAAAACACCATGGATGAGAAACAACTTCTAAGATCAATTCCATTCACAATAGCTACAGAAAAAATTAAGTACCTTGGAAAATATTTAACCAAGGAGGTGAAAGATGTCTATGATGAAAATTGCAATACGTTAAAGGAATAAATAGAAGAAGAAACAAAAAAATGGAAAAATTTTCCTTATTTCTGAATTGGAAGAATTAATATAATCAAAATGTCCATAATACCAAAAGAAATTTACAGATTCATGTGATCCCAAACAAAATATCAACAACATTCTTCTCAGATCTAGAAAAAATGATGTAAAAATTCATATGGAAACACAAAAGACCCCAAATAGCTAAAATAATCTTATTCAACAAAAACAAAGCTGGAAGCATTATAATATCAGATTTCAAGACATACTAAGGGGGGCTGGCACTGTGGCTTAGCAGGTGAGCCACTGCCTGCAGTGTCGGTATCCCATATGGGTGCCAGTTTGAGTCCTGGCTGCTCCACTTCCTATCCAGCTCTCTGCTATGGCTTGGGAAAGCAGTAGAAGATGGCCCACATCCTTGGGCCCCTGCACCCAAACAGGAGACCTGGAAGAGCTCATAGCTCCTGGCTTTGGAGCAGCACAACTCCAGCCACTGCAGCCAATTGGGGAGTGAACCAGTGGATGGAAGACCTCTCTCTCTCTCTCTCTCTCTCTCTCTCTCTCTCTCTCTTTCTCTGCCTCTCCTTCTCTCTGTGTCACTTTGACTTTCAAATAAATAAATAAATCTTTAAAAAAATAAGACATACTAAGGGCTATTATCATCAAAAGAGCCTGGTACTGGAACAAAAATAGACACATAGGCCAGCAAAATAGTATGTAAACTCCAGAAACCAATCCATGCATCTACAACCAACTAATCTTTGTCAAAGGAGCTAAAAATCAATCTTCAGAGCAAGGGCAGTCTCTTCAAAAAGTGGTGCTGGGAAAACTGGATCTCTGTGTGTGGAAGTATCAAGGCCTCTCCTTTACATCTTATACAAAAATCAAAATGAATCAAGGATCTAAATCTATGACCTGATACCATCAAATTACAGGAGGAAAACATTGGGGAAACTCTGCAAGACATTGGAATTGGCAAACAGCTCTTGGAAAAGAAGCCAGAAGCACAGGCAATCAAAGCCAAAATAGACAAACAGGATTACATCAAGCTGAGAAGCTTCTGCCCTGCAAAGGAAACACTCAGCAAAGTGAAGAGGCAACCAACAGAACAGGAGAAAATATTTGCAAGCTATGGAACTGGAAAAAGATTAATGTCCAGAATCTATAAAATAGAGTTCAAGAAACTGAACACCAATAAAACAAACAATCCAGTTAAGAAATGGGTAGAGGACTTGAACAGGCATTTTTCAGAAAAGGAAATTCAGATGGCCAACAGACACATGAAAAAATGCTCGGGATCACAAGCCATCAGGGAATGTGAATCAAAACAACAATGTTCATATCACCCTGGTTAGAATGGGTCTTACACAAAAATCAACAAATAATAAACATTGATGAGGATATGGGGAAAAAGACACCCTAACCCACTGTTGGTGGGAATGTAAACTAGTACAGCTATTGTGAAAGACAGTATGGAGATATCTCAGAAAGCTGAAAATATATATACCATATGACACAGCAATCCCACTCCTGGGAATTTACCCAAACAAAAATAAATCAGCATATGAAAAAGTTATCTGTACCCCCATGTTTATTTCAACTAAATTTACAATAGCTTAGATATGGAACCAACCCAGATGCCCATCAACTGATAAGTGGATAATTATGGGGCATATATAGTATGGAATACTCCTCAGCCATAAAAAAGAATGAAATGATCTTTGGCAACAAAATGAATGCAACTGGAAACCATTATACTTAGTGAAAGAAGTCAGTCCCCAAAAGATAAATACCATGTGTTTTCCCTGAACTTTGATAACTAATAGAATATAAAAAATGTAATGTATAGGAGTTAAATTGACATTTTGAGATCCAATCATGTTTACAGCCCTTATCTCTACTGTTGAAGAACAGTGTTTTTTTATTATTATTTCTTGAACTCTTTATTTAGTGTATGGTTAATCTCATGAATATAAAGTAATCTGAAAGTAGATCACTATAAAAATTAAGAGAGGGAATAAGAGAGGAAGGAGGAGGAAGTGTGGGTATATGGGTGGGAAGGGAGGGTAAGGTAGGAAGTATCACTATGTTCCTGAATCTGTATACATCAAATACATGAAATTTGTTTACCTTACATAAAATTAAAAAAAAATCCCTACTGGGATGATTCACTTTTGAGATAAGGGAGAGAAATGTCTAAAAAAAAAATGATATCCAGTTACTTGTTCAGATGTCAGTTATTCGAAAAAGTGAATTCTAGCCTCAATCCCTTTTTTCCCTTGCCTGTTCCCTTTCCCACCTATCATATCCTTTCTTTCTTTTCTTTTTTTTTTTTACAGGCAGAGTGCAGAGTGGACAATGAGAGAGACAGAGAGAAAGGTCTTTCTTTGCCGTTGGTTCACCCTCCAATGGCTGCTGCGGCCGGCGCACCGTGCTGATCCGAAGCCAGGAGCCAGGTGCTTCTCCTGGTCTCCCATGTGGGTGCAGGGCCCAAGCACTTGGGCCATCCTCCACTGCACTCCCGGGCCACAGCAGAGAGCTGGACAGGAAGAGGAGCGACCAGGACAGAATCTGGCGCCCCAAGCGGGACTAGAACCCAGAGTGCCAGCACCACAGGCGGAGGATTAGCCTATTGAGCTGCGGTGCCAGCCCATATCCTTTCTTTAAACACATCAAAAGTATTTCATAAGCCAAATGTCAAAATATGAGTTCCCTGAGGCCAGGGACCATATCCTTTTGGTTTATTCTTAAACTTCCTATTGTTAAATCATGTGGCAATCTGGCAAAATGCTGACATCACATCAGTGCCAAATGATGTCAAGTATTTATTGAGCAAATGCAATGGCTGGGATGGGTGGGGAAGGGGGAGAAGAGAGGAATAGAGGAATAGAAGAAAATCGTCATGGGTGCTGGGGCCCCATTATTCCAAAGAAAAGTGACAGAGAAAGAGAGGAAGGGACAAGGACATCTTCCATCTGCTGTTTCACTCTGCAAATGGTTGTGATGGTTGGGGCTGGGGTTTGGAAGTAGGCCAAGCTAGGAGCCAGGGATTCCATCTGTTTTTCCAAAGTAGGGTGAAGTAGCCCAAGCACTTGAGCCATCATCAGCTGCTTTCCTAGGAGCATTAGCAGGGAGCTAGATCAGAACCGATGATCTAATATGGGATGCCAGGGACACAAGAAGTGTCATAATCTTTGCACCACAATGGTGGCCCCAGTTCCAAGATCATAATACACAGAGACTCTGTTTTCATTGATAAAATGAACTTGCTTACCCTCTAACAGCAGTTCTGAATTTTTCCATTGAAGAATCCCTAATGGAAGAGAAAAGAATAGGATGAGGTTTCCACTTCCTGTGGTTTACACTACCTCTGTATATCATAATGAGTTCACTATGATACTAGATGGTCACTTCAATACCACTGCCTCCTCCTTCTAGAATGTTCTCTGAATTGCATTGAAGCCAGACTACTATTTCCCCAAATCTCCTTTGCCTCTTGGCTCTAAGTTAAGAGTTGATCAATGAGAGGTGTTTCCATGAGAGGCCATCCTTCCTCAGAATGTGACTGAAAGAAGTGTGGGGAGGGACTGGACACAGGGGCCTCACAGCAGCCTGATCCTTTGCAAGTCACTTGCTGCTTGGTGGTAGTAACAGCTGAGATGTGGGTGACAGCTCCTTGAGACCCACAGCTGCAGACTGAGAAGGAGCCCTGCATGTCTTCAAGCTAAATGGGACTTCCTGAGAAGTCCATGCTCCAGTGCTGCAAACACCTTCTCTCTCCCACCCTCTGATGCCAGAGATTCTCTCTACAGCTTTATGTTTCCAATGCACTGAGTAGTTTTTGTTTTCCTGAATGATGTGTGAAATATTTAAAATTAGCATGAAGGGGAAAAAAGTGTTCACCTGTCAACTTCATGACACACTACTTTATCCAGTCTACTGAGTGGAAAATCTGAAGTTTGGCACTCATGACATAGCTTTCTTGGTACAAAATTTATGCATTTTTAAAAGATTTATTAATTTATTTGAAAGTCAGAGTTACACAGAGAAAGGAGAGGCAGAGAGAGAGAGAGAGCATCCATCCACTGGTTCACTCCCCAGTTGGTTGCAACTGTGGGAGCTGCACCGATCCAAAGTCAGGAGCCAGGAGCTTCCTTTGAGTCTTCCCACGTTGGCGCAGAGGCCCAAGGACTTGGGCTATCTTCTACTGATTTCCCAGGCCATAGCAGAGCTTAATATGAAGTGGAGCAGCCGGGACTTGAACTGGTGCCCATATGGGATGCCAGTGCTGCAGGCGGTGACTTTACCCTCTACACCACAGTGCCGGCCCCAATTTTATCATTTTTAAAAAATTTTTATTTTATTATTATTTTTTTGACAGGCAGAGTGGACAGTGAGAGACAGACAGAGAGAAAGGTCTTCCTTTTCTGTTGGTTCACTCCCCAATGGCCGCTGTGGCCGGCGCACTGTGGCCGGCACACCGTGCTGATCCGAAGCCAGAAGCCCGGTGCTTTTCCTGGTCTCCCATGCGGGTGCAGGGCCCAAGCACTTGGGCCATCCTCCACTGCACTTCCGGGCCACAGCAGAGAGCTGGACTGGAAGAGGAGCAACCGGGACAGAATCCAGCTCCCCAACAGGGACTAGAACCTGAGGTGCCGGTGCCGCAGGCAGAGGATTAGCCTATTGAGCTGTGGCGCCGGCAATTTTATCATTTTTAACAAAAGCAGTGAAGACACTGAATGACCCAGAGGCAACCTCTTTAAGGAGAAGTTTTTTGGTCACCAACACAGATGCTGCTGGGCTCTGAGCATGCTCAACTGACTCAACTCCAGACAATGTGTTCATGGGGTCCTGTCCAACTGAGCTCCATCCATTATACTTCATTTACAGATGACCCCCTGCCTACTGAATAACGCCTCATTGTCTCGAAACAGCACGCTATTCTTTTACTATCAATCATTTTGTAAAGTCAAAACATTTTCTAATATTTGATGTCCAATACATTGGCCAAATATCTGTTGCCACTCCATCATTCAGCTTAAGAGGAGAGTTAATCTGTGTTGGTCAGATGTGTCATTTGATAAGAATTTTCCTTAGTTTGACTCAAACTGATTGACATGCTGTTGGTCATGAAAATATCTGATTTTATTTTCTATAGTGCAATCTTTCCCTTTCAACGTGATTCTAAAATTGACCTTAAGGAAAATGTCAAAAAAGGTTTCTGTATGATGTACTTCATTTAGTTTTTTTTTCTAATGAAGACTATTCTTACATTCCAAGTATTTCGTGAAAATTTTCCACTCAAAATAGTGTTTCTTAGGGGCTGGCATTGGGGCATAGTAGGTTAAGTTCCTGCCTGCAATACCAATATCCCATGAGTGCTGGTTCAAGTACAGTCTGCTCTACTTCCAATGCAGTAGAAGATGGCCCAGGTACTTAGGCCTCTGTACCTACATGGGCGACCCAGATGGGGTTCCTGACTCCTGGCTTCAGCCTGGCCCAGCCCCGGTAGTTGTGGCTATTTGGGGAATGAACCAGCATATGGAAGATCTCTCTCTCTCTCTCTAACTCTGCCTTTCAAATAAGTAAAATAAACCTAAAAAAAAAAAATTCAAAGTTTCTGTGTCAAAAAGAGAAAAGAATGCAAGCCACTAAAGTTCCTGCTGTAAGTCATTGTTTCTTGTGTCTATTAAAATAATAATAAAATAATAAAATAAAATAAAATAAAATAATAGGGGGCAGGCATTATAACACAGCAGGAGCCACCACTTGGAATGCATCCCATATTGGAGTGCCTGGTTTGAGTTCAGGTTACTCTACTACCCATCCAGTTTTCTGCTAATGGTGCAATCCAGGAAGCAGTAGCTCCATGACTCCGGCAACTGAGTCCTTGCCATCCAGATGGATGCCAACCCAGATGGAGTTCTAGCTCTCAGGTTTGACCTGGCTGTTGCCGACATTTGGGGAGTGAAACTGCAGATGCAAGATATGTCTTTCTCTCGCTGTTACTTTGTCTTTTAAATAAGTAAATAAACATTAAAAATGATCATTTTTAAATAATAATTTATAAATAATTCATTTTAAATGAAAGTACTAAAATTATGCCAAAAATAATATTTAAAAATGCTCTGGTTGTTACTGGGAACTCACTGTGAAGTAACAGAAGTAAATGCACTTGGCTGTATAAGAATAAACATTCTATCAAGCGCAATTGTCACAAACAACATAAAACAATTTGATTTGTGGAAGCCACTGGGACTTCTATGTAGCTGAAGATGCTAGCTTATCACATGAAACAGAGGTGCTCTTACAAAGAAAGACAATCTAGCAGGCCTGGTGGACCTCTGCTGACCACTGAGCAGGTGTTACTGGTGTGAATTCTCCCTGAAAGGCCCATCTGCTCACTAAAGCAATTGGATTCCGGCAACACAGTGCCTCAAAGTTCTAATTACTCCTCATTCATTCACAAAAAAAAAAAAAAAAAAAAAATTCTCCATAGTTCCTTTTGTGGAACAAACTGAGTTTTGCTGACATGCAAAGAAGCTTCTAGCAATTAGTACAAAACTAGTCCAGATCCCCAAAATAAGAACTGTGAGTAAAGCAGTGATCCCAAAAGATGTGGAATGGTCACCGTGCATGGGGTTACACCTACAGTGTGAGACTCTAAGTAGCACAGACAAAAAGGTGACCTACGTGTTGGCTCTGTGAAAGTAACTTCTGCCTTATGAAACAGACCTATTGGAACACTTTTCAAATCACTTTTATTGTGGTTGCAAAGACACAATTAACTTTCTTAGGGTTTCATTTGTTCCCATTTGAAGTGTCAGCTTGTTGTGTTAAACACTGCCTTTACTATGAAACTGCTATATTAGAACCTTATAAAATACAAACTAGAAACTAAGATTATCTTCTTTACAGTATTCAGATTAGTTAAAACAAAATTGATTTTCAAAGGCAAGGAAATCGGCAAACATCCAATTTCTTTTCTAAGGAAAGATGGTACAAATGACATACAACAAACACTAAATTTTAAATAATTAGGTGCTCAAAACCAGTAATTGTGGGAAAGCTGTTTCCCAAAAGTAATTCTGACCCACAGATTCACAAGTAATCATTATCTTATAGGTCCCAATGGAAGGTAAATAATAGCCTGCAGAGCCAGATGGTATTGTTAAGAGAGTTTAGTGGAGTAACAAGTTGGGATCTTCAGAACTGAAACAGAATAAATGTTGGTATGATAATATTTCACACTCTTTCTCCACATTACATTAAACATTCATAGTAACAATACTTTCTCTGTAAACATCACACTTAAATAGACCATATGTAAAAACAATCTATCCTTAGTATTTTTACTAGACAATCTACAGCAAATGCTTACTATGTACATATCAGGAGTATGAGATATAATAGGATATTTTTCACTGATTTCATTCAGAGTAAACAAGGGTCTCAAAAGAAAACAAACAGTAAAAGTGAAAGAGATCATTTGTGCTGTTTGTGAACCAGACCAAAACTAATGTTACAGATTTTGGTACAGATTTGGGTACATGTTACAGAGTAATAGAGAGATGCACACAGAACACACACAGCTTTAAACTGACGAATTCCAAAAACTAAATCAAATAGGGTAAATAAATTATAAATGAAAAGCCTATACATTGTGGGCAAAAACCTAACAGTTATTAAATTGAAAACCATGAGAGTTATACCAGCAATATTTAGAAAAACTTTCATTATTAGAAAATACCAGATTTAATTCAAAGGAAACTCCCCCTACCCCCAAGCCCTCCATAAAAATAACAAAAAGTATGGGAACCGTCCTTTACGCAACAGCTTTGGAAAAAAAAGTGGTTACAGGAGTCTCCCCACGTGATAGACAATGTAGTGCAATAGTATGCTCCTTGATAACTTCAGCTGCTCAGCTTCCATATAAGGAGACCAACAATGAAAGCTCCAATGACGAGGATTAAAATGATGATGCACAGGGTTTTTCTGGATTTGCGCTGCAGATGCAAACACAAATAAAAAGCCATAAATTTAGTGGAGTATCTCTATAGAAACTGAAAAGAATTTGGTTCATTTTTTGTAGAGTAAGATCAATAGTTTATTTGCCCTCAAATTTTGGGGTATGTTTTTTGTTTCTCAAACATGTGTCAAATACATTAGAGCACTACTCTTTCAAAACATTTTACTCAGAGAGTAAATTTTTGTTAGTAAGTTTTCTGCAGGTTGGCTTAAAAAGAGAGAGACTTAAAATTACTGACTTAAGCAGTAGGTTGAGGTTACCTATGAATGCGAAGAACAGCCGGAAAGTTTTACATTTTTAAACTTTATCAAAAAGTTGATATTAAAAAACAAGTTTCCTGAAAATCCCAGCAGGTATAAATGTTTGCCAACTTTTTTCTAAAGTAAATTTGTTTCCAAATCATTCCCATTGTTTAATATTAATGGAAACTGCACTCCAGATCTCACCATACAAATAAAAACTACATACCTAACCCAATTATAAAGCTGATATTCAAAATACAAAGATTAAGAATTTTGTTCCATTCTCCACTCTTGGCTCAGCTGTAGGTCTCTATTTTATTAATGGCTTGTGTACCTCACACCAACATGTAGAAGTTGTTTTTTCTTATTAAAGCAGAAACATTTATACATTTACTTGGTCAACTAGAAGTAGTATAAAATATACCAAAAGATACATTTGTAACTTTTGAATTACCCTGAAAATCATGAATACTTTCAGTATCCACATAGTCATCTGATTTTTCGACTGAGTACTTCTTATGTATTAAACACAGTTTTGCTAACGTTCCAATGTCATCATGCACAGATATTTTCTCCTGACTCCACTCGGTTACACAGACAGACAGGTAATAGCATGTGCCTTACGGTGACACCACAGGTGTGCCACTGTGGTGGATCTGTTGCCAGGGGTGCTCCCCTGATATGGGATAATGTTAGGTCCTGGGGTGTTGCTGCTTCAAGAAAATTTATTCCTTTCCTTTTTGCTCACAGTTCATCCAAACGAGAAGCATCACAGTTGGCAAACACTTATGTTTAGTAAGTTTATTATCAAGACTTCCAGGTAGAACTTAAGGAAAGCTGCCTCTTTTTGAAGCACTATATTGCTTGACTCTCTCCTTGTCCTTTCAGGGCCTCTGGGAATTAAGTTTGGGAGCAGCTCTGAGACCTAAGGTCCAGGGTCCACAAGGAAGAAGAAATTTAAACCTGGAAATTCATCTACATCCTCCAAAATCCAAAATCCAAACAAAGCCACATGCAAACCTAGTCACTGATGAACTCTACATTTCAGTAATTATACCCTCAGGACTCTAAACACTGAATACCCCATTCCTGTGTCCTGCAGAAACTCTGGTTCAACCCCGAGGCCATACAGGCTAATACCAATTTTAAACTGACAGGCATATTTCTGATGCCTTTTATATGAGATTTTAAAATTTAATATCTCCAGTCACCTTAAATCTGATTATACACATGCATGCACATGTGTTCCCTCTAACTGTCTGTCTCTCTCTCCCTCCACCCTTTTACCTCTTGACAAAAGGCTGAGTTATAGGAAAATTTTTTACAGATGACCTTACCTGATAATCTGCTGCCCTTGACAGCTGCTGATTTGCTTGTTGAACATGCACCTCTGCGTTTTCTACATTGGCTTCTATGCTGTCTTTAAAACAAAACACACACCCACAAAACTGTTAAATGTGTATGATGATGCCTCAGTAATAAATCACTAGATTTTATTCAAAGTAAGATTAAGTATGCTTAGTATCCAAAGTTAATGTTAGTGCAGATTTTTTAAACCTGGCTATAATTTTTCTCTAACTACTTTTTTTTTTTTTTTTTTTGACAGGCAGAGTGGACAGTGAGAGAGAGACAGAGAGAAAGGTCTTCCTTTGCCATTGGCTCACCCTCCAATGGCCGCCGCGACCGGCGCGCTGCGGCCGGTGCACCACGCTGATCCGATGGCAGGAGCCAGGTACTTATCCTGGTCTCCCATGGGGTGCAGGGCCCAAGCACTTGGGCCATCCTCCACTGCACTCCCTGGCCACAGCAGAGAGCTGGCCTGGAAGAGGGGCAACCGGGACAGAATTTGGTGCCCCGACCGGGACTAGAACCCGGTGTGCCAGCACTACAAGGCAGAGGATTAGCCTAGTGAGCCGCGGCGCCGGCCTCTACCTACTTCTAAGGTGACTCAAGCAATACATAAAACATTTGAAGAAAAGAACCTGGTGATTTTCATGGCACTGCCAACTCCCGTGTAACCTGGCAACCCCTGGGGAAGTACTGTCACCAAGCAATGACCAAACCAGGGTCGGCATTAAGGCTTGCCTCAGTCTCACACATCACAGCTTGTTCCCTTCTCAAGACCAATGTGCGAAATCTTTTCACTAACAAACACTTTCTTCACCATGTTGGAAAAAAACAGTATCTTGACTTTCCAAAGAATACTATTTCAACAGAAGGAGCCCTCCCCTCACCTCCCAAAGATCTGAACACTAAAATTTGGTCACCTATGTATATTTTTAAATATTAAATTATCACGATAGTTTGTAAAATTTCTCACCCTGTGTCTGTAAATGCAACCTACTTTAAATGATTAGAGTGTAATACCTGTGTACTGTCTAGTTGGCATCTGGCTAACTAAGCCTCTGATAACTTTTATTTAGAGTAAATACAGAGTTCCACAGCCATCATCAATCTACTTCGTACAGAAACCTAGGTTTCACAAGGGCCCATGGTCTCTTCTACTGGCAGAAGCACCTTCCCACCCTCCTCTGGCATGCAGGTGGAACAGAGGTCTCTTTTTACATGACAGCCCCTGCCTCTTCCTCCTCCCCACCAACTTTCCATTTTAAAGCTCATGGTTGATTTGCTAAATTCATCCAGATTGGCCTCCTGGTTGCAGACAACCATAAATTTCATGATCTTTTCCAGTCATTCTTGAACTTTTTAGACACTGATTCACTGATGCTCTCTTCAACACTTCTTTTATGATGCTTATTGGTGATTTCAATATTCAGTGGCTGATCCTTTTAAAACCCTGATCTCTCAATGCCTAGACTATGGCTTTTGCAAAGACTTTGTCAGTTACCCCAGCTACCCATTTTCATAGTTACATTCCAAACGTTGTCATTACCAATTACTACAACTGCTCCATAATCACAATGGCAAGGATCTAATTCTCTGAATACCACCTGCTCAGCTCACTCCCTCTAACACCTGATGCCATCAAGTATCCCAATCCCTTTTCACTGTCCCTAACATACTCCATTATCTCATTCTCCTTTTCACCTTAAACAAGCAATTGTTTCTTTCAATCATCCTGAACTCCCTTGCTCCCCTGCTCTAGCTATGTTTCTGTGACAAAGATCTGACCAGCATCCATGCAGTTGAACATGGATTCAAAAAAGAATAACCTTATGCTGAACTTAATTCATGTTACGGTCATGGCTGCCAAGCAAGCTTCATTTCCCTAACTCCTAGACGGCTATGTCACACTTTCTCTTCTCTCTGCATCCTCCACATGCCTCCTCAGGCATTATCACTTTGAGCCAGCACTTCGATTTGCAGCTCATTGAAACAGGAAGCATCAGAAGACATTTCTGCATCTCCTACGACCCTCTTTACCAAATACTTGCAAGGTCTGTGTGCTCTGACTTCTCTCCTCTTGTTAGGAACTTTCAGGCAGAGCCAACTTCTCCATTCTCTGCACTTTATCCTATTCCTTATCATTCAACTCAAGATACCAGTCCATGAATCTTTCTCTTCTTCACTTAGCATTAAATTTAACATATTCAGGAATTATTGATATCAACCAGCAAAATTTGCTCTAGTTAGAGATTCTCCATGTCAGAAAATAGCAATTCCAGGCTGGTGCCGTGGCTCACTAGGCTAATCCTCCGCCTTGTGGCGCCGGCACACCAGGTTCTAGTCCCGGTCAGGGCGCCAGATTCTGTCCCGGTTGCCCCTCTTCCAGGCCAGCTCTCTGCTACGGCCTGGGAGTGCAGTGGAGGATGGCCCAAGTGCTTGGGCCCTGCACCCGCATGGGAGACCAGGATAAGTACCTGGCTCCTGCCTTTGGATCAGTGCAGTGCACCGGCTGCAGCGGGCCGGCCGCGGTGGCCATTGGAGGGTGAACCAATGGCAAAGGAAGACCTTTCTCTCTGTCTCTCTCTCTCTCACTGTCCACCCTGCCTGTCAAAAATAAATAAATAAATAAATAAAGTCAGGGTCTGATTTAAAAAAAAAAAAAAAAGAAGAAAAGAAAATAGCAATTCCACCAGTGAGAGTGGACCAAGTCAAAATCTTACAGTGGACTTGCATCCGGGGGCGAGCCAAGATGGCAGAATAGTGAGGGCGCGCACCGATAGTCCGGGAAAGGATAGTTTAATAAAAGTGGAGTTACTGTAGCCTCAGGAAAAGGCTCAGGAAAAAATTGCAGAGGAAACTCTTCCGGATCTAGTGGATGTGGCACGGAGGACCTACGGGGAGAGCAAGGTCGCCCACCACATGGAAGCCGAGCCATGGGAGCCGAGCCGCAGAGTCTGCGTGCCAGCGCTGGAAGGGGAGGTGAGACAAAAACCACGGTAACCCGAGACATTGGCGGGGAAAGGCGGAAAGAGCCTACAAAGAACAAGGCCAAAGCCCCACTGGGGAAAGTTCACCAGGCTGACTGGAGGAGAGAAAAAAAATCGAATAAATAAGGGGAACCGGCATGGACATTAGCCTCTCTCTCCACTCACCTTACAAAGCTGAGCAAAACAAAGAGCAGGCGCCATTTTACCTATGTAAAGTGGCACGCGCCATTTTGTGTATGTAAAGCGGCACCCATCATTAGCCAAGCAGAAAAACCTGACTCTGGTGGGGAGAAATAACAGGAGGATAGGACCTAGTGAAAGTGTGGAGCTAAGGAACTTAGACTGTGAAAATCTGACGGGGGGCAAGAGAACTCACCGAGTACACAAACTCGGTAACCTGGGCAACCTGGTGAGAGACTGCAGAGAAATTTGAGACCATACTGAGGGCTGCATAAACTCTTTGTGTGTGGTCCCAGCAATAAGCAGACGAATACCCATAGGGGCCAGATTTCATACATCAACTACTCTCAATTCCACTCAGCTGTGTGGAATTACTTCCCAACTGAGTCAAAAAGAAAAAAAAAAAAAAGAGAGAGAGAGAGTGAGCGAGCAAGAGAACAATCTGGGTGAGTCACCTCTGACACACCCTTAACCCTGAAGAACCAAACAGAGCTCTCTGGCCACACCCATCACAGCCTCTAAGGATCCATCAAAAGCAGACAGTCCACTTAATCTAGAGTCACAGTATAATGAGAAAAAGCACCACAGTGAAGAAATCTCCAATATGCCAAACAACAAACGCAGAAACCGAGGTAACAAAAACAAGGAAGACACTATGATGCCCCCAAATGAAACAGACACCCCAATTCAAGATTATGAAGATGATGACATAGAAGAAATGCAAGAAGTGGATCTCAAAAAATTGATAAGAACATGAAGAAGTTCTCAAAAACAAATTCTTGAACTACAGAAATCCTTAATGGACAAGATAGAAAATCTCTCTCACGAAAATGAAATATTAAGGAGGAATCAAAATGAAATGAAACAACTAGTAGAACATCAAACTGTGAGAGTGACAAGAAATCATAATGAAATGAAGAATTCAATAGATCAAATGACAAACATATTAGAGAGCCTTAAAAACAGAATGGGTGAAGCAGAAGAGAGAATATCGGACTTAGAAGACAGAGCACAGGAAAATATACAGTCAAACCAAAGAAAAGAAGAGGAAATTAGAAATCTAAAAATATTCTCAGGAATCTTCAGGATACTATTAAAAAAACCAACATTTGGGTTCTAGGAGTTCCTGAAGGCATGGAGAGGGAGAAAGGATTAGAAAGCCTTTTTAGTGAGATATTAGCAGAAAATTTCCCAGGCTTGGAGAAGGACAGAGACATCCTAGTACAGGAAGCTCATAGAACCCCTAATAAACATGACCAAAAGAGATCCTCACCACAACATGTTGTAATTAAACTCACCGCAGTGAAACATAAAGAAAAGATCCTAAAATGTGCAAGAGAGAAACGTCAGATTACTCTCAGAGGATCTCCAATCAGACTCACAGCTGACTTCTCATCAGAAACCCTACAAGCTAGGAGGGAATGGCGAGATATAGCCCAGGTACTAAGAGAGAAAAACTGCCAGCCCAGAATATTATATCCTGCAAAGCTCTCATTTGTGAATGAAGGTGAAATAAAGATTTTTCATAGCAAAGAGAAATTGAAAGAATTTGTCGCCACTCGTCCAGCCCTGCAAAAGATGCTTAAAGATGTGTTACACACAGAAACACAGAAACATGGTCATCAATATGAAAGAAGGTAAAGGAAGGAAACCTCACAGCAAAAGATCACAGGGAATTCAAAGCATATATTAGAAAATATCATTGGCAAATGGCAGGGCAAAGTTACCACTTATCAATAGTCACATTGAATGTTAATGGCCTGAACTGTCCAGTTAAAAGACACAGATTGGCTGATTGGGTTAAGGAACAAAACCCATCTATTTGCTGCCTACAAGAAACACATCTTTCCAATAAAGATGCATACAGACTGAAAGTGAAAGGCTGGAAAAAGATATACCATGCCAA